TGGTTGGTTGGTTGGTTGGTTGGTTGGTTGGTTGGTTGGTTGGTTGGTTTTGAGACAGGGTTTCTCTGTGCAGCCTTGGCTGTCCTGGACTCACTTTGTAGACCAGGCTGGCCTCAAACTCATAGAGATCTACCTGCCTCTGATCACTCTGTAATCCCTACGTGCTGGGATTACAGGCAGGCACTACTACACCTGGCTCTGTTGAGACTCTTGAGACTTCTCTCTATGAAAGGATACTGGGCCAGTGAGATGGCTGAGCGGGTAGAGGTGCGTGCAGCCAAGCCTGATAACCGGAGTTTGATCCCCGAAACCCACGAGGTGAAAGAAGAGAACCTATACTCTCCAGTTTGTCCTCTGACCTCCACAAGTGCAGCATGTGTACCCACAAGAACAGGCACATGCACACATTAAGTGAATTTAAAACAAATCAAAACAAGAATCATGAGTAGACAGCAGATGGGGGAGCTGACTGGCTTTGTCAAATGAACTACTAAAATTTATACCTTCTGTTTCTTCTGCAAAATGAAAATTACACAGTAGCATTTCTTCTTTTTGTCACTAATGACATTTCTTTTCTGTGTGTACACATGCTCAGCTGTGTATTAACTGACAGGTCAGAGGACCCTCCATCTGGGTCTCTGCACCTGCTGAGCGACCCTGCCGGCCCACAGAGCAAGTGAGTGTGCCACTCACTTCAGCCAGTGAGGGGCACGAACATGAAGCAGTTCCTAGCACTATGATGGACTAGCAAACACCCCATGGCCCGGTCAGCTCCTGCTCACGTGGTGCACTCAGCATACCAGAATAGTACACCTGGTATTAAAACCATGCAGCTCCTACTGCCTCACTGCTGTGCTAAAGCAGCGGCTCTCAACCTCCCTAACGCTGCAGCCCTTTAACACAGTTCTTCTTGTAGTGGTGACCCCAAACATAAAATTACTTTTGTTGCTACTTCATTACATTTTGCTACTTTTATTAATTGCGATGTAAATACCTGTTTTTTCTGACAGTCTTAGGTGGCCCCTGTCATTTGACCCAAAGGTTGAGAAGCACTGTGCTAGATGCTTTGTCTCTGTTTTACAGAGAATGAGCTCTCTCACTTTCTCTCTTAAAGAAAAAAAAGAAGGAAGGAAGGAAGGAAGGAAGGAAGGAAGGAAGGAAGGAAGGAA